TTATGTGCATACAATATCCCAATGCGATATCTCAGGCGCAGTTTTTCTATCTGAATCGATACGATATCCAAAATACAGCAGCAGCAGTCGGCTGTTGCTGCCTCATTAACTTAGACATGTACAAGTAGGGATATGCGTTATCCGTAACTGGATTTTGTCTACTAATTTGTGGAGCAAAACATTGGCCGATGCTTACGTTGCTTTATTTCGATTTGAATGACCAAAATGATGTTCTTCTCTAAATTCGAATTTCAGCACTACGAAACCCTCTGATAGATTGAAAATGCCATCGCAAAATTCTTCTGATTTCGTTGCGAAATGGCTGATGAANCTCAATCCATTCGCACGTATCACGATTGTTATCTCGGGCGCAATTTTGATTCATCTCTCATTGGGCACGTATCACACATTTGGTGAGAGGCATTTCTCACCTTCAAGCTTTCATGATTGAATTTGTGCTTCGAATACACTGAAATCTGTTGAAATGTATTGCTCATTTGCAATTCCTTCACCAAAAATTTTTTGTCTGCTGATTATTTGGAGGATTCCTGAATTAGCAGCGAAACACGAATGACGGCAGAAGGTTACAATATGGAATGGAGCCTATCTTGCTTCATTCAAGATTTATTTTTGCATCCACCTCATAATATCGCACCGACTGATCCGTTTGGATGATTAATTCCGTTTTTTAGGCAATATGCTACCTTATATGGCATCCTTTATGCGTAACTACACAGATCCCACAATAACCGTTGAGCAACTTGTGTGGATTCCGACGTTTCAAGGTGACTGGAAACTTTTTAAATGATTTCATTAATCGGTACGCATGAAATTCGAAGTGCTTTTTCAACACTGAATCTTATAACCATGAACGACGGTTGTCTACATTTAAGGTTGTTTCCCGTTTGCGATGGTTATTGGAGGTTATTTAAGTGCACGGTTGGGGCCAAGAACAGCCAGTTTTATTGGATGCTTATTGATGGTGTACGTTTAAACATACATTTATCTGTTTGTGATTGGAATGTAATGATTCTTGAAATGAATGAACGAATATCCGTATAAGATAATTTAGGAGTGGAGTAATGTTATCGTTCTGGACAATTCAAAAATCGCTATTATTATTCATACTCACTTACGGTTGTATGTTTGGGCTCGGACAAGGCATGGCCTATGTTATTGCAGTCGCCTGTGCTATTAATGTTTGTGGCTATTTTATGATTTTCTCATATCCGATATCGTGCCGTTATTATTTCGTCTAGATTATAGAATCTTCCGGCATTCTGGTCACATCGGTTTGAAGCCATCAGTTTGTTGGCGACAAAGTAATTCCTTCTCAGGGGTATTTCAGTAGTCAACTGACTCTTAGCAGAATCGTCCTTCCTAGTTGAAACATAGGTCGAAAACAAATCAGCCTGCATTCATAGGTTCTGACTCATAATGGTTATCAGCAAGAAATGAGGTTAAAGAATATTCCCGATGAGATTGATGTCATAAAATTGTAATTTAGTGATTTTTCAGTGGGCTCCAGAGCATGTCGGTTTTGTGAGCGGTGTAGTCGCAGCAGGATTTGGTATCAGTTCATCGATATTCACACCCATACAAACAGCCATCATAAATCCATGGAATTATAAACCAAATCGTGACGGGTCAGCTTTATGCTTCAAATTCGATCGTCGACACTTGATATTACGATGTCGCATTAAGCGATATCGTTGTTTGAAAGAGTAACGACGATACTGTCGTGCTTTCAGTGTCAATAAGCACTGCCGTTTAGCTGATGCCTTCCCTAATCTCGGACCGCAGCTAGATCTGAACAGCCATTTGAACCAATCCGCATCTCCTAGCGATTTGCTAATATTCCTCGTGATTATTGTCAACAATATTACACTTAAGTTCCGATACGATCCAAATAAAATGATTAAAGTTTTTGGGCGAAAAAAGACACCAACCAGCACTGAAGTTGTGAATTAAATTTGTGAAATGCAAAAGTGAGCAAGATATCAGAAAGTGTAAAAGTAGTTTATTGAAGATAATTCAGGTACTTTCTTGAAAAAGAATTGATGCTACGGGTACCACCTGTATTTCTAACGTTATCAATTGTATACGCGATAATGCAGGCTATTGGTCTTATCGTCATATGTGATCCACCCAATACGGTTTGTATTATTAATCGGCAAATTATTTCATGACCACCAAACATTAATACATTCTAAAGCAAACTAAATTTTATTCCAGAAAATTCAGGATGAGTAACGATTTTAGAGATGTTTTGATTCTCAATTACCCAAATTAGTATTTTAGTTAGGGTATTACCGATGTGGTGAACAGTAAGAAATGTAATAATAAAAATAATAATAGTAATGGCAGCAACAATGTCAGTGATAATAATAGTAACTTTAATACTAACAATACTAATGTTAATAATGATATTCATAATAATACTCTTCATAATGATATTTTAATAATGAAATAATAATAATAATGACATCAAAAACGATATCAACGTTAAAATACTATCAAAAGTAATGGTTCCAATTGAAGCGTTGTCCTCAAGACGATTTGGAGCCACTGATGGACGAAGATGAAGAGCCATGCAAAGAGGTTTCGATGACAACCAAGCAGATGCTCAGCAGCTCAACATTTTACTTCTTATTTATCGCTCTCTTCTGCAGTTCATTTTATGGCAATATGTTTTATAATCTTTACAAGGTTCCTTTTTAGACCAGTTACATAAAGTGTCTTAAACTGTTCATTTGTTCTACTTTATATTAATAACATTATGATGTTAATGGATACTTTTGTACGCCTTCAACTGTAAACCATAAGGAACTGTGTGAACTATCGCAAAGATCTTCTGAATGACAATCCGTTTAGCAAAAATACATCAGTTTTTTCACTATCACCTTCACCGTCACCTGTAAATATTATATCTTTGAGGTGTAGCTCATCTCAGATATTGAACCCCATAAGTTTCATTCCTTGAAATTATCACCTCATAAGCGTTCGGCTTCATTTCTGCGGCTTATGCT